CTAATGACCATCAACATTGATTCATCCGAGCAGTCAAGGGCGTGACTACAGCTCCAACCGATCCTAGGCGCGAGGCTCTGACTCGCCTGACCTCTAGGGGCGGGCTCCGCCTCGCCCGACCCTAAGGCCGCAGGCTCTGCCTCGCCGGGCCCTTGGGTTTGTGTTCCGCCTCGCCCGACCTCTGGGGGCGGGCCCCGCCTCACCTGACCCTTAGGTTTGTGCTCCACCTCACCTGACCCCGAGGCCGTGGGCTCCGCCTCGCTCGACCCCAAGGCCCCAGGCTCTACCTCACTCGTCCGTGAGGCACTGGGCTCCGCCTCACCTGACCCTTGGGTTCGTACTCCGCCTCGCCCGACCCCGAGGCCCCGGGCTTCGTCTCGCCCGAAGGAGACCCATACTACCGTCAACCACTCTAGGTTCAAGCGTATGAGCCTAGGTCAAAACTCTGACACCAAGGAAGAGACCGACACATCCTGATGTAACCCGTGGCCATGATGGGCCATACCTGAGGATTCACATCAAGAGCAGCGTCGGGCATACCAGTGTTGTTCTGCCTAACCCCCATATGATCGCTGACAGGCGCGTCACCTCACCACGACATCCATTGCGATGGAATGGAACACCACGACCGATAGACGACGCTTGTCAGCATGGCGCCAGTAACGGATAGGGCCACGATGTGGTGCTATCCGTGTTGATATCTACAGGGTCGGTGGGACCCGCTTGAAGGATGAGAAGGACCCGACGATCCTAAAGGACTTCTTCTCTCTCGTTCTTCTCTTTTCCTCTGCTGTAACCCATGCTTTCCCTTGGCCTATAAAAGTGAAGGCAGGGCTTCCTATGAATGGGGGCCGATACGAGAAAAACCGATCAATCGAGATCGACACAAGAAGCACGACACGGGAACTCGGCTGAGCAGCAATCAAGCTCTCAGTACTCGTTCACTCCTTTCACCTAAGACCTAGGATCATTTCCCTCTCTCGCCCGTTTGTAACCCCTACTAGAAACTTTCAGTGCTAGTAACACGAGCAGCAGCGACGAACTGGACGTAGGGACTTTCTGCCCGAACCAGTATAAACCTTGTGTCTTCTAAACACACCATCCGAGCCTGACACGCAATAATACAAATTTACTCGTCAGTGGTAACTCGAAACACCGACACTCCGTGATTCCACTGATACGCCTGCTGGATTGACTAACCTGGGTGCAACCTGTTATGCAAATAACATACTTCAGTGCCTTTACATGAATATATCCTGGTTCATAGCCTATCCCCATCAAAGTGATGTATTCTCATTCATAGCCTATCCCCATCAAAGTGATGATGTTCATTTCATGGTGCTGATGTTGAAAGAATTCAATACTTATACTATTCTTACTATACTGTTGAGTTGTTGAAATGGGTCAAGCAAAATGATCAGCAGTCTCATTTATGCTATGTGCTGCATTATATTTATGTGCTCAATGTTGACTACACTTTAGCTCATTGCTTCCATACTGCTTGTTGGTCCCTCGGCTGCCCTGCACAGGTAAGCAGTAAGCTTACCAGCACACTCACTCACTATGGCTAGAGGTAGAAGAAGATATTGAGAACAACTCACACACACAGCACAAGCCAAGCGCAGGCCGAAAGCTCTGCTTCTAGATGTGTCAAACCGAAAGCTTTGCGTTGCCTTAGGTGTGATATATATGCAAGTGCTAGTACCTCTACCAGATACATAGTTGTTGGTGAGTACACCAACTACCTACTCCTAAGGTACACCAACTACTCCTAGTACTAGCAGTACAAAGCTTAAATCAGCCCACTACCAAGACATAGCTGATGTAATAGCTACCAACTAATGTACTAGAGGTGGCCTATTGCTATACTGCTACAACAGTAGAGACTAGATAGCCGAGCTGAGCAAAGCCAACTCTGTTGCAGCAAGAGAGAGAGAGATCAGCAACAGATTATGTCTTACAATTCTTCCCCTAATCCTGCTGCTAACCCGATGCCTTGACTTCATCCATGCCAATCATCTTCCTTAGCTCCATGAACCACAGGCGCTTGAGTGACTTGGTGAGGATGTTAGCGAGCTATCTGCCGGTCTCGATGAACTCGATGATGATCTGCCCTCCATCGATGCAGTCCCGGAGGAAGTGAAACTTGATGTCAATGTGCTTGCTTCGGTCATGGAGGATAGGGTTCTTGGCGAGGGCGATGGCGGGCTGGTTGTCCATAATCAGAGCTGGCGGGTGAGCTTCCTCGCTAGTCAGCTCACCCAGTAGCTGGCACAGCCGTCACTGTGTCTGCTGTGACATACTCTGCCTCACACGTCGACAATGTCATGATCTTTTGCTTCATCGACTGCCAAGGAATGGGGGCCGCTCCAAGGAAGACAAGCACACCGGAGGTGCTCCGTAGCCCATCAATGTCACCCACCATGTCCGCATCACTGAAGACAGTGAGGTCCAGCTCACCTTCCTTTGCCTTGGGGGGTGCCTCACTGAAGACCGTGAGCCACAACCCACCCTAGCCGCCACTCTTGGGGAAGACAGTGATCCTCGCGCGGGTCCTACATGAAGTGGCTGACGTACCTATAACACCCTAGGTGTTAGGCTTGCATAATTTCACTTGCATTGCATGAGCATAATCATTAAGCATTCATATATAAGCTTTTATATGTGAAACATACAATTGAAACATGTGAAACATGCCTTGTTATTCTATGTTTCCATATGTGTATGCTTATGATCATGTGTGAATAAGTGCAAGTGATTGATGATTGGTCACTAAAACACCTTAGCTACACTTAAGATGCCTAATGGAATAATGTTCATGTAGATCACTTTATCTAATTAAGCTCCTAAGTGATGACATGCTTATTGACCTAGGAAGTATTTATATGTAACCAATGTATAAGATGTGTATGGAACCTTAGGAATACTCTAAACAAGTTTAGAATGCCACTAGGAACAACTTTGGTATTCATGACCAAGGCTAGTTTGGCCTCTAAGTCATGGTTATAGTGTAAATCATTATTTTTAACTTGTAGGTTTGACTGGAGTTGAACATCACTTTAGAAACTTTGCATGGCTGTGCACCCTAAAACAAAGTTGTAGAAATCAATTAGTGTAACAACTTTTATTTTTGGGTCATAGGCTAGTTCAGCTCCTTACATGCTTGAATTTGGATCACAAAACTGAATGCAGTGCTGTTTTTCATACTTGAAATTTTTTTCTAAGTCATATTGGGTTGACAGTACGTTGTGGCTGACTTTGTGACAATTTAACTCCATAACCATTTCGAATTAGGAGTTGAGTTCTAAAGCAATATTGTAGCCCATACATAGCTCTACAAATCTTGTTTTAACATCGGGCACTAATTCTTCATGGATTGAGAGCTTTAGCACCTTCATTTTGTGCTGTCAGTCGCTCGATCGGGCTCTGATGGCCGAAGTCTCACGCCATCGATGGCCGACTAGGTGCAGCGCTTGGCCGCCGCATGGCCGCCACTGGCCAGCATCGGGCCCCCGCTGTGGCCGTGTGGTGAACGATATCAAAGAAGCTGCACTACCCATTCCTCACTCGCGCTCGCACTCTCTCCCTCTCCACTGCTCTTTCTCGTGCTCACAGCGGAGCTGCCCTCGCCACCACACTGTTCCACCACCGCGTAGCTCCTCTGCCGCCCAACCATTCCTCGATTGCTTGCGCACGTAGATGCGCCTTGTTCTGCTCTACACGCTCATCATGTTTGCAGCCCCATTCGAGCCATGGCGAGGGCAAAATCACCGATTCTTGACCTCGTTGGAATCACGAGTTCCATGGCCGCCTTCATGGTGAGCTCGCCGCTGCTCGGCTCCCTTGCGCGCTCCTACTTCTTTGCGTTGGAGCTTGGTTAGGGTGTCCTAGCTTCTGGCATGACGCTACGGCGATTGGTTGACTCACCGGTGCAGAACACGATGGCCAGCGCTGCCATGCTCTCACCGCTGCACCACCGCGCACGTGGACACCCTCGCCGGTGCTTCCACCTAAACCCTAGATAGTCTAGATAGGTCCGTGTTGTCACCACGGAGCTCTTGCACTCCTCGTCGGGACTTGTCGTGGCCGGAGATGGCCGGCGCAACTCCGCGCAGCGCCGTGCGCCGGCCATGGCCAGCGACAAGCATGCTCCGTTGCATCCGCGCTGCCACCATCGGTACCAGTCGACGCGGGTTAGTGAGTAGATCACGTAGGTGGGGTCAGTTTCGCTGGAGAGCTCGCCGTCGACGAGCTAGTGCTGGTCAACCACCGTGCCCTATTTCGGCTCACTGGCAAGTGGGGTCCGCTGACCCGTGGGTCCCAGGAGTCGGCGACTATAGTTATGGTTTAGTTTTATTTCTTTTCTAGATTTTTGTGCTAACTTTGGAAAATCA